TTGCAGTGACCTCTATATGTATGCCGTATGTGTAAGCTGATTCAATGCAATTAAGAGCAAGGAAAAATATAAACATCATGTGTAGCCAATTTTCATCGGTTAATCATAACAGCTGTCAGGTTTGCTCGGCCGCTCTGCCTCCCTCACCTTTCCTACTGTCTCTTGCCCCATTACTCTTATCACGTTCACCTGTTCCTCACTCCCTTATCACCAGCTGCACTTGATTAGGTTACTCACTATATTACCCGGTTTCACTCCTCAGTCACTTGTCCGTTCTTTCGAGGCACTAAGCCAAATTTACTTTGTGCGTTGTCATTGTTATTGTATGTATTTATCCCCTAGCCAGCTACTGTTTTGTGTTTCCCCGATGGACTGTTCCTCCAGATTGTGGCTCCACTCTCTCCTCCCAGGCAGGTCAATGCACAGTCGCCTATCTTTTTCCACTATTGCCTTCATCTCTCTGTCTCTACCTTCAGTAACCACCATCACCATCGACCAGCCCAGGAGTGACCCCACCTACGCAGCTCGGCCCAGCTCTCCATCTCCTCACCTCCTGTGGTTGGTCAAACACCCGGTTACTACTCATCTACAGGACTACGTATCATTTCCCTCTGTGTTTTTGTCACTCCCTTGTTCACTGTGTATAATAAATCACTGTATGCACCGAAGCCTGCTACCTGGGTCCGCCTCTTTCCTCGTTTGCACACTGACTGGAGCGAACGGCTCCTAACAGTACTATTCTTAACCGGTTCAGATCTTATCTCACCAATAGAAGTTTTACTGTTAATATTGGTACCTGTTCGTCATCCTCAGCTATCCTTTCCTGTGGTATCCCCCAAGGATCTGTGCTTGGTCCCATTTTGTTCTCATTGTACATGCTCCCACTGGGATCTATCTTAAGGAAATATGGCCTTTCTTTTCATTGTTATGCCGACGACATTCAGATATACTTACCATTAAAGGCAACAAGAGGGATGTCATTACAGCCATTGTTTGTCTGACAGACTTGAAATCATGGTTGGCACTTAACTTTTTAAATCTCAATGAAAATAAGACTGAGTGTATGCTATTTGGTGACCTGGCGAACTTATCTGCTCCTGACCAGGGTCTGGGCCCCCTAGCTTGACATCTGAAGTCAAGTGTAAAAAATCTAGGGGTAATGTTTGATGGTGACTTGAGATTTGACAAGCAAATCAACTCAGTTTTCCACCTGAGGCTGTTAAGCAAGGTCAAGTCATTCCTTTCTTTTAATGATTTCGAGATTGTAATCCATGCTTTTATCACTTCTAGACTTGATTATTCCAATGCTCTATACTATGGTGTTAACCAGTCCTCCCTCGCTTGTCTCCAAATGGTGCAAAATGCTGCTGCTCGTCTTTTGACAAGTACTAGGAAATTCGAGCATATAACCCCGGTACTGGCTTCTCTCCACTGGCTTCCAGTCCATTTTAGAATTGATTTTAAGTTATTGATTTTTGAGGCTCTTAATGGTTTAGCACCATTTTACCTCACTGAATTAGTGCATTGGCACAAACCTACAAGGTCCCTCAGATCTGTAAGCCAGTTTCTTTTAAAGGTTCCTAGGGTCAGATACAAACGCTGGGGTGACCGTGCTTTTACTGCTGCAGCCCCTAAATTGTGGAATAGTCTACCTCTTAATGTTAGATCAGCTACTGACCTGACTACTTTTAAATCAGTGCTTAAAACATATTTATTTAGCTTGGCTTTTAATACACAGTAGGTAGGGCCTGATGCATTCCTTTTAATCTGATTTATTGAACGTATGTCATCTGTGTGTCTGTGTTATTGTGCTGTTTTATTTTTATTTTTTTTTTTTTTGCACTGATCTTATTTATTCTGTTTTAGTCATGTATTGTGATTTTATTCTGCCATGTAAAATATTTTGGTCAACTGGATGTTGTTTTTAAAGTGCTATATAAATAAATTTGATTTGATTTGATACATGAATTTATTTTGAACGGTACAAGATAACATTTCAGATAATATACCTTAAAGTATTGCACTTCTGTGAGCTTTACTTTATCTTTTTGAATCTCTATGTGTTTTTGTATTTTTGCTGTGTGTGGGATGGAAAGGTATTTTAAATATGTGTAGAGTGAATGTAGTACATTGTGCTTTGTGCATTGTACAAGTTAAAACACTGCAGTAATCCTGAGTCTCCACATTATGGGGTAATTACAGCCTCATTACAAAAAGCCCAGATGTCGTACAGCTGTGTCTTGCACTGGCAGCAGCAATTTGCACTTCTGTAATGACAGAGACAATGAGAGTCTGAAGAGTGGTAATCATCATCTCCTCAGAGCTGCAGGGTTGTGAGCGTGTGTGTCTGTATGTGCCCTTGCCCTGTGTGTATGAAACTGTAAGTGCAAAACTGCATGTACAATATGTCCTAAACACTGATTGGTCTAAAGCTGTGCATCCATCGCTCATGGCCACTTGGGCAGATGCTAACCCTAACACTGAAAATCAAAGCAAACAGACAACCAGCAAGAGTAAGAGTTTTTCAATTTTCGATTTTTTTTGATTGTGTGCACTGGGGTTAAAGGATAAATCCATAGTGGTTTCAAACTTCTAAACAATGTTGGACTTGTAGCCAAAGTACGATGGATCAGTTGAGAAGAAATGCTAAGAAGGAAGATTAAGTGTTTCAGTGCCACTGGTGTTTTCAATCAGATTCTCAGATTTTGATTATGATCATTATGATAATAAGACCCAAGCTTGAAAAAACAGTAACTATCCATTTATAAAGCTATGTAAATGTACTACTGACAACTGTGAAAAACAGCTTCAATAGGCATATTTTAGCTTAACCCACAGTACGGGCAGTAAAAGCAGAGTAGTGTAACTCACAGCAAGGTAGAGTGCAGCATAGATACTGAGTGCAGCTTCCTTGGATGGGAAAGTTTTGCGGGCCCGCAGGATGTCATCCTGGTTTCCTGTGCAGGCCTCTTGGTGGCTGATGTAGCGCAGAGCCTGCTGGCAACCCAGTGCCGTGTAGTTTGGTTTACAGACCGTCAGGAAGTACGGTGCAAGGTTTCCTGTCACTACCTGGCCTGCATTGACAAAAATGTCAACAGTGAAGAGGCCAAAGGTGTAGACTCCTAGGAAGAAAAAAAGAAGATATTACAGGGGCGACTGTGGTTCAGTGGGTAGAGCAGTCATTTCCCAACTGGAGGGTTGGCGGTTCGAATCACAGTGCCTGCAGTCCACATGTCAAAGTGTCTTTGGGCAAAACACTGAACCCCCAAGTTGCCCCTGATGGTTAGAGCCATCGGTGTGAGTTGGTGCCGCAGATGGCTGCCTCAGTTTTGTACTGGAAACAAATTCCTTGTGTGCAACATACTTGGCCAATAAAGGTGATTATTATTATTATTAAGAGGGAGGGCACATGGGGTAGGCAGCATTTCCACCAGCAGCAAAGTTGGTATGCAGACTGAAAAAAGTGGAGGTAATTAAAAGTAGTAAACCGACCACCAGTGATATTAGTTTGATATCTTGATATCAAGAACTATATAATTTTCTGTAAAATTTCAATCCACCATTGAAATCAATCAGCCTCCAAATACCATATTAGCCTGAACATAAGAGGAGGCCTTTGTCTAAAAATTAGGTTTGTAAAAACAGGGGTTGTATTACATTTAAGGACAATTATTTCTTCATAACTTTTTTCACTGAATGGCGAGACTGGTGTAAAACTGTCTCCAACAGAATGTGTTGCATTATGGATTGTTCATAGCCTTAGGGCTGTATCAGCCCATTTCTTTCACTTTTTCAAACCAATGATTTGACGTTGATAGTCTCCTCATGCTTGAGCATCTATGCAAAGGTGAGACTGGAGAAGGATTTGAACTTCTCTCTGTTTTTTTCATTCTTAACACAACAAGTTCTGTCACTTTTCATAAGAAAAACCTGTGTAACAATGTCACAGTTCCAGTCTCTGTTATTTTCTAGGACATATTTACTTCATTCAACCTCCAAATGTCCCAAGACTTCTTTCCTTTTTGTTTGTCCTCAGTCACCTGCACTTTTCCCATTGCCTGGTCCTGAATTTCACACCCACCACACCTGTCTCTTATTCCCTCATCAATTGACCAATGTTGTATACTAATCTGTCTTTCCTGTGTCTCTGCCAAATTATCTGATGTACTCTCCACAGCCTTATCATTTCAGCCACCTGGAATGTCCTTTGTCCTCATGCTCTTGGTGGATGGGTTTACAAACCTGTTTCTGGATTCTGCTATAGCTAGCTATCTACTGTGGCTAGCACAAGGCATTCTAGTCATCTTCACATTCAAGGTCCCCAAGCATTAAACATGCTGGCCTCCAGTTAGATTCCCAGTTAGGTTTGCCTGCAGTTAGCACTGGAGCAGTCTGTTTTAGCCTGGCCCAGCCTTTTTTTCTAGTTGACTAGCCTCCAAATTACTGTATTCTGCAGGTAAAGATATAGGTAGATCTTTTTGGCATGTCCTGAAGTCTACTAGGCCTTAACATGCCTCACCTGTAAATAGTACCAGGCTCCAACCTGAATCTCAGACAGCCACCAGTTAGACTCCCAACCAGTCAGCACTGGAAAAGCCAGCCTAAAGGCAGCTTAAAACACAGCTAGTTTCAGTCTTTTGACAAAAATATATATTAGTTTCAGTCAAAATTTTAGTCTTTAGATTTTTGTTAGTTTTAGTCTAATCACCATATGACTTTAAAACAGTGAGATCTCTGCAGTGAACATTTAGAGATTATTTATGATTGACTGCCCACTTTAATCCTGGAACTGACTCATTCCTTGTGACAGCAATACAAGAGATACCCAACTGAAAGAAATGTTAATGTTAAATCTACATCCACTGCATTTCATGTTAAATTACTCTACTGTCTCATATGGGGTGCTGCTGCATTTTTGTAGTTTATCTCAGCTGTTATTTTTTGTAATTCTCTGGATTGTAGATAAATTGGTTCATAAAAATGGTTCTCCCATGAGGTGTTAACGACAGAGACAGAGGGCCCTATCTTTCAACAAATGCACTGCGTACGGTGCAGGCAGTGCATCTGTGTTTCCTAATTTCTTAACTGCGCAATTAACATTTTCATGATGTGCGCATCACATTGCCTTTTTACTAAGCAGCAGTCAGTCAACTTTGCGCTGGCAGGTGTGTCCGGATAAAAATGGGGTGTGTCCATGTAAATTTTGGGTGCTAATACTGGTGATATGAAGGTGCACAAAGTGGTTGCACCACTGACCAGCAAAAACCAGGTCTGTGGTCAACAGTCAAATCATAATTGCTAGTTAATGGGCGCTTTGATTGTGTAGTGATGTGTGCCTGTCTAAGTGAGTGCACACTGCTCATGCACTGTGCTTAATATACCCTGGGACACGCTGCGTATGACATGCAAAACTTAAAAAATAAAAAGATCGCATTGTGTTCATTGGGTGTTGTGCACATCAATATATGTGTATTTATAATAAATACCATTTTGATAAGTCACCATGCGCCTATATTTTGCACATGAGCAGATCGTTCAACCTGGGAAGTTCGGCAGTATGCTAGAAATTCACCAAATGTTAAGATTCTCAGGTCTTTTTTGGAAGGAATGGACACTGTGTGCTCCGGACCAAGGACGAAAAGGACCATCCAGACTGTTACCAGCATCAAGTTCAAAAGCCAGGGTCTGTCATGGTCTGGGGTTGTATCAATGCCCTTGGCAAAGGCAACGTACACTTCTGTGATGGCTCCATTAATGCTGAACAATACATAGAGATTTTGGAGCAACATATGCTGCCTTGCATTTGCGTCATACTGTCTGCATTAACCTCTAGAGTCCCTGCGTCCTCATATGAGGACCGCACAGCTTGGGTTTCCAAAGCCCGTCATACTGTCTGCATTAAGCATTACCAAGGCTGTGGAGTAAAAGGTTGTGAGTGCTGGACTGGCCTGCCTGCAGTCCTGATCTGTCCCTAATAGAGAATGTGTGGCACATTTTGAAACACAAATTGCATCAATATAGACCCAGGACTGCACCATAAGACTTGTTTGGAAGAAGAATAGGACAAAATGACACCTGACACACTTAAAAACCACTTGGTGTCCTCAGTCCCTAAATGTCTTTTAAATGTTGTGAAAAAGAACGTCAACATCACATCGTGGTAAATGTTTTACTGCCCCAACTTTTTTAGAATGTGTTGAAGCCATCAAAATTGAGGTGAGTGTTTATTTATATACAGCAATAAGTAGCATAGATAATGGATGGATAGATAAAACCCTTTGATATCTAGTGTGGTCAGACAAGACATTGCACAAACTATGTCTTTCTCTTAATGTTACTACCAAGGGTCATTGAGCCCATTTGCCGTTAGAGTCAGTCAGCAATAAGATTTTTGTTATCCTGGTTTAAAATACAAGACATTTAGAGTGGTTGTGTAATGTGAGCTGCTGCAACAGAGGGAAAAAAATCTAAACAAGTCAAAACTGGTCCAAAATGTCTTTCAGTGTCTACTGCAGAAACAAACTGAGAACAGAATTATCTGACAAGCAGCCAGTAATTACTACTGTCACAGATAACAAGGAACTAAAAATACAAAAAGTCTGAAAAATGGTAATTACTAGAGACATACATTTTAAACACTTCTAAAAGCCTGATGAAGATCAACACTCTTCTCACACAGGACTATCATGAAAACAGTTTCTTTAGCTATTAACCAATTTTGTGTGAACAGAAATAACAAACTTGATATGACATGTGTTATTAATTATGCCAAATATGCTTGCCATATTTGTTTATATACTTTAAAACTGTAGGCTTTTATTTTCTGAAAAGCATACCAAAAAATGACTCAAAACAAAAAAATGATGGGGTTACTGACTTTACAGAGTTTAATGCAATTTATATTCTTGTACAGTATGTAGCTACTTTCTAACATCACTGTGACATTTTTCAATAGTCCTATGATATTTCTCTATTAATCAGCATTGTATTTACCATTATGTATTATTACTATGGTTTACTGTGACCTACATACCACTGTCCTAGTTGTAAGCTAACTCAGTTGTGTTAGTCTGCTAATCAGCAGTTTTCAGCTGGTTAACTTTACTGCAAGTCACATAGTTTACAGAAGGAACTAAAAGGCAACTGGCTTCCCATTTTCTTCACAAAACAGCAAGGATGGGACATAAATCATTCAGCTAACTTGTATTTTCAGTGTGAATGATTCCCTCCAGCACCAGACAAAGTCTGTTCAGCATGGCACACACCTGTAGTTCCAGTCACACTGTGGCACTGCTGTAAACAGGCCTACTGTCTACAGGGATACATCAATACCAGGGATACAATCCCCTGCTGCTCATCCATGTCAAACACACACACACAGTGCACTGTCTACTGTAACGGCCACTCAGGTGCCAGCATGCATTCACACTACTCTTAACCAAACCAGAAAGGTTTAAAGAGCTTTAAGAGAAATAATTACGTCCCTCCAACAAGGGTCTGGTAGTGTGTCACACTGAATTATCAAACAGTTGCCTAGTCAGACCTCTCTCTCACACACACCAAGAAAATTGTTCACCAGAGAATTGTTTACCACCAACACACACACACACACACCCATTTAGATATACCGTTCACTCAGACAGGAGGATCACATATGTATACCCAATAAGCATGTGTACTTTAAGCTCTAGAGCACATAGACATGTGGCTACCCAGTGGTTCTGCAGCAGATCCCGGCATTGTTCGAAACAGCCAAACTGAATTAGACTTAATAATAATAAGCATTTTTGGGTCATCCCTCTCTGTGTGCCCAAAGCCAGGTAGGATTAGACGGAGGGGGTTAGCTGATCACTGTAATGAGAGCCCATAAGACACAGAGTGCCCACATTTACACATTCATGTGGGTGAAAGTAGGACAACTTCACAATGATGAGCTGCACTCAGTGAGTGAGTCACATGACATTTGACAAAATCTATTTGGTGGTTGTTAATAAATGAACATGTCAGTGTCTGGAGCCTCACACTGCTCTTTGAGGGTGAGGAAGGAGAAAGGAAAAGCACACATTATCAGGTGATCCAACATAAAAAAGTGACACTTTGAGAAGCCTCTTTTCCATGAAATCTTTACCAATTTTTCTTTGACTAGCTTGTTGACAATGGATCAATGGATACATTACACCTAGAGATCTGGTTACATTGGGCCCACGATAGGCCGCCACCCAGGGTATTGTTCAAATGTGGTACTTTATTTTTTAACTAAAATTCCACATTTACAATATATGATTCTAATAAATGATGCAATTTGCTTGATTTCAAAGCAAAAATCATGGAGTTTGATGATTTAAATTATAAGCTAAGAATAATTTCTGAGTTTAATCAGTGCCTCTTCACATCTTTTTTTTATCAAGACTGTTGAACTTGGATAAAAGCTGTGTTCATGTTATTTTTTCCTTACAGCCAGTGTCATAACACATTTCAGACCAGAGAACTAATAAGTTCCACAATCACTCAGGCTACCTTCATATGCCCGTCTGCTGACCTTGACTGACCCAAACCTCCCTGTTATCCACTAAGACAAGGCCCTAATATTGTTTTAAAAATGTTCAACCAGAGGCTGTGAATGGACATAAGCAAGAATCAAGGGACCATGCACTAGATCTCTAGATATTCTTACCAAATATTAGGATCTTGTGTTTCATCATGAGAGAATATGTTACCGAGTGCAGTGGTGAATTTCCCTGATGTGTTTATAACTGTTTGAAGTACAGTGGAGGGTCAATGGCACAGATAGGACTAACCGACTAACAGACATTGACGGTGAGTAGAGGCAATTCATTCTAGTTTTTAGTTTCTGTATGGGGAGTGTTGAAAATACTGTTAATACAGAAAATGACTGGCCTTACTGTTTAAACATAATATAAAATCTGAAAAAGGTTGATACTGGATCTTAGTGGTATGTCAAAAGCTGGGAAAAAACAATTGCAACATTTTAAACTATAAGAATTGTATAATAATATACTAACTAATATACTAATAATATAACTAATTATAACTATAAAAACAGACAAGAAGACATTACATTTCAGAAATATAAGGAACTGATCAAAATTTCAAATGGGTGTTAAAACAAGTTTAAGTATGTCTTGGAGATATGATCTAAACAAAAATCTTTATCATTTTCCTTTCCTCTAGAAAGATCTTCCTGTATGTTCCCTAGGGCTCGTTTCACATCTAACATTTATGTTATGTGAACTCTTACATAATGTCACTGACAGAGGAGGCTGTGAACTTCCACAATCTAAAGTTCATGCAAATAAAATGCATAAAGGTAAAAAATACACTGCTACATTTGAGTGTGTAAGAGCTCCACAACCCCTGGCTGTATTCTAAATATAACCTTTCTAAAACAGCATGGTCTTATGAGTCATTATGCAAAGCAATGCCAGGCCTGAGTGAAGGGGAGGGGCTGCAGAGTTGTAAGATGGCTGTGTTCACATGATTCTGTGCTGTTCTCCAGCAGAGGTAATGCTGGCAACAAGTGTGTGCTAATCGGGGACACACAAAGAAGTACATATACGCAGCCGAAGCACACACATGGAACATGTCACATGTGTACAGTGATGCACTGATATTAGCAAAAAGAAGTGGAGAGGCCAGAAACACACCAAAGAAAGGATCTGCGAGCTCAAACCCTCAGGCTTGTACATGAGGGCTGTAGGACACAACAGAGTATTTATGCTACATTATGCTTGTACTCCACAACATTTCAGGAAAACATTGTCCTTTGTATTGCCTTGCATTTATTTGAAAGCTACTGGTTACTTATCAGATTAGAACTGTGCATAAAAAAATGTATCATAAGATCACAAAATGTCATGCATTTTTACAGAGAAACTCAGTGGTTCCCAACATTTTATACTTGTGACTCCTTACAAAAAAAATCTGTGTCAAGTCCTTGTCACATTTCATAATATGGGCTTTTATTTTCCTGCCAGCGCAATTTCTGTGTCATGTCAAGGACAAAGGGTGGTTGTGGAGCCAAGGGAGAGAGGACCTCTTGTTCTGGGTTGTTCTTGTAGGATTTGCAAAGCCTTCTAACACCACATGAAAATAAGTTATACATGTATTAACTGTGTAACTTATGTAAAAAGATGTTCAGGGTTCCAGTGCCAGCAAACTGAAATGATTAACTATGACTCTTCAAATGCAATCAGTCACATAACCTACAGAGAACACAAACAGACAAAGCATAGAAAAACAATGCTGTGGATTAGTGGAGAACTAGCTTATCAACTGCTGGGTTGTACGGGACAGCTATGCTGCCTTACAACAATACTTAGCACACATTTGGAAGTTAGTAAGCATTAGAAAACAAGAATTACTATGCACAGTACATAGCCTGTTTTTTTAATCAAGCTAGATCCGTGGCCAGTAGCAGTACAAGAAGCCGGTGCTGATGTGGAACTGATGAGGCTGTGTGTACTGAAGGAATTGCACCAAATGTCAGTCTCACATGATCCTGGCTTTGACATACCATCATGAACTCCATTATAAGGCCCGTTCTCCCTCTCTGTTCTAAAACGAGCACCGTATAAGACTGCATTTTTTGTTAAAGATGCAGCAGCAGTGAAGTCTCTTCACATGCACAGATGCGCCCAGGCATAAAAGCTAACTCTGTTCTTCTTCCCCTTAGAGAAACTGGAATCCCTGAATGGAGTTTGTGCAACATACACAAAACAAAGGTTCATCATGATGAAAAACTGAAGTGCAACCAAAACCTGTGACAAAGAACAACTCACTAAATTATAACCACTCAATCTTGATACTACATATTACTGCACAGAGATAATAGGACAAACCGTTTAAGAGCATTGCTCAAAATGTCTGATTTTTTTCTCTGGATATTTAAAAATCAGACATTTGCTATTAAAATGATTAGGAGACATAGTGCGCAATCTGTAAAAATGATAGGTTGCTCCTTAATTATCCTTTAAGACAGTATAAACTGCTCCATGAAGGAAGAGACAAAAGACAGAAGTCAATAACTTACTGTGTGTCTCCCAGATAAACTGTGGGAAGTTGTTAAGCAGACAGCTCAGAGAGCTGTTATGACTGACTAATGCTGCGTTTCCACTATCGAAGCCTATCGAGCAGTATACCCGGTACGTCGCCCTGCATAACCTCCAGGATTGATGCGGACCACAAAGATACGCAGGAAACTCAGCAGCTGAAGCTGTCAATCCTCCTTCTGCTTTGTAGAGGAAAGTCACTGCACAGCGCTGTTTAAAATTGACATCAATTAACACTGAGACATAATCCTTATGCAGATACAACACTCCACTAGTGCATAAAATATGATAACAAATTCAAATCTCTTGGAGATGAAAGGAGGTTTAGCCTGGAATGAACAGACTGATAACATTAGTGCGCAGCATGAATAGCATGCTGGATGTGTAAATGTCAGGGTAAAGCCAGGCCACCAAGTGGATTCCCACTCAGGGATCTAGGTAATAATCCGCTTCTTCAGCTTTATCTCCTGCTCTCACTTAAGCATGAGAGAGGACAAGGAGAGGCCAACGTCTGCAATTTGTGTGTTCCACAGACCAACTCTGTGTCTTTTGCTGTTGCATCTGCAGGAATGACTGCATGCATCTATACTGTCTCTGCCAGTAAATGCTGCACAGTATAGATTTGCAGGAAGGTGTGAGTGCATGTGCTATAATGTGCATTTGTTTCAGAGTGTCATAGTTTACAAAATTTTCTGACATTTATGGGTTTTTCCACCTGCTTCTGTAAGTACAAATTGTGTGGAGTGGGTAGATCTGTGTGTAGCTAGATGAACAGTCAGATAACAGCTACTGTACTTACAGGGGTGCTATGACTGCCATAAGATAAATACAAAATAAGAGTAAAACTAAAAGTCATACAGGGATGTTAAGGCATGAAACTGGCTAACACGTCACTGTACTGCATGCAAGAGGATTTTCAGATCCATTTTTGCTCCACATTTAATTCAGCAGAGCCTCAGATCTGCTTGCCATTTATTACTTATTTCACCTTGATGAATAACAGTTGTGACATTATAGCATTAGCATAATAGATGCTATTTAATTGCTTTGTAAGTGCTCCCTAATAAGGGCTGTTGTGCTCCATTCACTTACATGGTACTAATCTGTTAGTATGACTGGTTCTTGCACAAATCAAAAAAATGTATACAGTAAAAAAACATTTAAAAAGTGAAATGACAAATAAATGTGGAATAATGGTACATTTGAGAATCCATGAAAATTCAACAATTATCTGATACAAACTACTCTATTCACCACAGAATAGAGGTTTATGCTGCTCTGAACTAATTATAAACAGGTTTAGTAGTTTCCAACTGCAACTAAGCCAATTCTATCCAGTGAAATCAGTTTAAAAAGTTTAAAAAATGCCTAGAAAAAGCAGGGAAGGTAATGAATAAATGTGAACCTAGCCTGCATGTCTTAGGACTCTAGGAGGAAACCGTTTGAAAAACAAAACAAAAAAGTTCCATATCCCAGAGCGGATATGGGTGGTTGTGTCAGAATAAAAACAAACCAAAAAAACTACCTAAACACAGTGCAGTACAAATACTGTAATAGTAATTACAAATTAAACATAAGCTTGGGACTTACCAAGGAAGCGGAAAGTCCTGCGCACCAGCGGGTTGAGATAACAGCAGTCGCCAGTGGCCACCGTCTTCTCTGAGCGGATGAACTCTTTGGATGTGTACTGGATGAGGAACAGCACGGTCTCCGTTATCGTAATCTGGCACGAACAAAGGCCAGAGGCACAGAGAGGGAAAAGAGTATTCAGATGAGCTGACTGGTGGTTTATCAGTGAGTCAGAGTTGCTGTTGTTGGCAGCATCATTTTCTCACGCTTTGTCACACAACCCTAGAGCTTGTGTGAATGTTTTCTCAGTGGGCTCCATCTGTACAGACATAGCTGTGGAATACACAGGGGCATATGGAAGCAAGAATGTCAGATCACTGTACAGAGAGACAAGGAGCAAAGGTGTGTGTGTCTGCGGCTGCGACTTTTTTTTTTTTATGACAAATGTGATCTGACATAGTGGTTAGTGTTGCTGCCTCACAGCAAGAAAGTTCTGGGTTCGGGCCCCGGCCAACCTGGTGCCTTCCTGCATGTTCTCCCTCTGCCTGCGTGGGTTTTGTCCGGATACTCCAGCTTCCTCCCAAAGACATGTAGCTTAAGTTGACTGGTGACTCTAAATTGTCTGTAGGAGTGAGTGTGTATCTGTCTCTAAGTGTCAGCCCTGTGATAGACTGGCAAACTGTCCATGGTGTCCAGGGATTGGCTGCAACCCTATGCGGTAATAAATGGTCTAGATAAGGCTCACTGCCTTCTAACTTACAAATACCTCAACCTCCAAAATTTTATTTTAAAACATGTTACATAATTTGTGAGCACTGAGAAAAGTTCTCACTGATCACTGAGACTCCATACTGAATGTCAGCCAGAGCCACGAGAAGTAAGCCTGCTGATGGCACAACAACAACCCCACCTCAAGGTAACTGAGGTGTATTTTTTGTATTATTACAGTCTTACAGTCTTTTCCTGGTCCCTGCCGCCCACAGCATGCTTAGTTTTAATTAATGTCAGCAATACAAGCTTTCCTGATTCAAGATTCAAGATTTTTTTATTGTCAATTCACTTTATGTGCAGGACATACAGAAAAATCAAAATACTGTTTCTCTCTCTCCTAATATTGGATGCCCATACCATTTAAGAAACTAAAATAGAATAAAAGTTGAATAAACATAGAATAAATAGAATATGAAGACTGAAATAAAGTAATTGGGATAAACTAAATGGTACAACCTAATAGGCTATGGTGAAACTCAAAACCATGTGCAAACAGTGACAGTAGTGCAAATAATAACTAGAAGATTGTCAGGTGGTCAGCATCACCAGTTGGTGATGAGATGCATAATAGCTTTTGAGATGCACATGGAGAGTAGTGCAAATGACCAACAGCAGCAGATATGATGTTAAAAACCAGTCAGCAGCAGATTTACATATAATATAACAAAAAGTGGGAATGTATTGAGTTAGTGCAACAGCAGGGGTAGTCTTTTTATGTTCTGTGGTGGGTCACAGTCCAGGGGCAGAGGTGGGGAGGTAATGGACAACGTTTCAGCATCCTCACAGCCTGGTGGATGAAGCTGTTTGTAAGTCTGGTGGAGTGGGCCTGAAGACTCCAATACCTTCTTCCCTGAAGGGCAGGAGTCTGAAGTGGGAGTGTGGGGGGTGGGAGGTATCATCATCAATGTTGATGACTCTGTGGGTGATGTAGGTGTTAAAAATGTCTGTAAGGGAAGGCAGAGGGGCACTAATGATCTTGCTGGCTGTTTTCACTATGCGTTGCAGAGTCCTTCTACAGGAGGCAGTACAGCCTCTGTACCACACAGTGATGCAGGCAGTGATGACGCTCTCAATGGTGCCCCAGTAGAAGCGCGTGATGGGGGGGGCACTAGCTCTCCTCAGTTGTTCCCTTTAATATTTTATATACTGTGTACATAGGTAATAAGAGTCCAGGTGCTAAACTGTCCAGCTCTGTCACTCACAGAAAACATTTGGTGCATTATGATGTGAAAAGGCCATGAAATGTTTGAGTAGCTAAAAGATTATCAAGCAAAAATGGAAAAGCATTTCACCTTCAAACCTAAAGCAACTTGTCTCCTCACTTCCCAAATACTTAGAGAGAGCTGTCATAGAAGAGGTGATGCAACAAAGAGGTAAACAAGCCTCTGTCCCAACTTTTTTTAAATATGTTGCTGGCATCAAATTGAAAATGAGAATGTGATTTCCAAAAAACAAAAGCATTTTTCAGTTTTAACATCTGATATTTTCATTCAGTCATCAGTATGCAACACTGTCATCAAGTTCCTCTTTAACTTTCAAACTGATCAGCAAAGCACCAAAAGGCCACACATGTAAACAGGTGTCTCTTCCTCGCCCGTTTATGAAGTGTCTCAGAGTAGGAAGTCCCTCCTAACTGGCCCAAAAGTTACAGAATGATGCAGTTGAGGTCCTACCTTTTGCACTAAGAAGTAAGACCATTTTATCAGCATTTCTAATTTTTGAAGTAACTTTTAGCTCCACAAAAAAGTAGGAGAGCTGAAGGTGTCTGAACTGGTTAGGAGCTGCCAGCAAATGGCATTCAGATTCTGTGGGAGGAGAGGTGGTTTGTTAACACTGAATGACATTGAGCGCATAATAAAATACCGTATGGACAAAAATTGAGTAGCTTTGTAGCAGATCTTGTGCTTGTGCAATCGTTCCTTTAGCAAGAAGAGTACAAACATGCTCCACAGAAACTGGAACTTCATTAAAACAAAAGGAAAGGTGCAGCCTTATGACAGTGATGTTCTGTTACAACCAACAATTCCATTTGTAGTAAAACACCACTCAGCATGAATTAACAAAAAACAAGATACATTTATGCAAATCACTGATGTGCCTGGATTTCTTGGGAGTCACTAATGGCACGCACATTTAACTCATTGCCTTGAGCACCAACGAGGATGTTTATGTGAAGTGAATAAGTTATCACAGCAAGTGGTTATGGATGAGAACTACTAATCTTTGATTTAGTGGCCAAATGGATCCATGCATGAGTCAAAGGTCCTCAGTGGGTGTGGACTAAAACTTTTATTTGCAAACAACCATGTTCACCCTGGACACATAGCTTTGTTATTTTAAAAAAAATGGGACAATGCTGATGAGGAAGATTTCATGCAGTGGACTCACATTACAAGTAGCTTTCCATTAACTTAGACACTAAAGAAACTGAACTGAAATAAAAGCTATTGCTGAGGCATTTAATGATTGTGTTATCTTCTGTAACCTAGGTTTTTACAGCCTTTACTTTACAAGTGGTGCCGATATCAGCATTTCAGTTATCCCACTCTCTAAAATTACAAACCTCAACTGTCAGAAAAGCTACAACCTTTCCCTGTAATGTAGACTTTGCAGCTCTGAGTGTTGTGAAACAGTGATGTCACACTCGTTTTTAGGATTTCTCCAAGATTTTAATAGCGAATTCTACAATCTGAACTGAGATGAAAGCTTGGAATATTAAACAGTTAGCAAGCTGTGCAGTTTTTGGTATTAAAATAACTCTGTACTTTAATCTTATTATACGTTGCTTGTGGTTTATTTTCTACCCCCACATGTCATGCTGCTCAAAGCCCCAAATGAGAGTTTTGGGAGCAATTTACTGTGAAAAAATGGCTGAAGGCAGCAACAGAAAGATTTCTCTGTTTTATCTGCAGTTTTAGCAGCGAATTGATTATTATACTGGTTACAGTTCACCGTAGTTCACATGTATCCGAGGCCATATTTTTAAGTGGTCTCTCTCTGATGCAAACAAACAAGCATTTACATCAAAGTCCCCTATGATTTTTTTTTTTTGTGCTACATGTGTTAGTGGCCTGTGATATTTTAGTTGATCGCAAATAGCATTATAAAATTACCATTATAATTATAAACGTGTAGTATTATTATTATGTGTCTTGCATACTAGTGTTGGACACTATAGAAGCCACAACATACTGTCTGTGATAACACTAAGAATGGCAAAAAGTGGTTGAAGGGCTGTCTGATTTCCAAAAAGCCTAAGCAGCACTGTGACAGCCGCAGGCCATTCGTCCCACTTTTTTTTTATCAGCTTTAACACAAGCTGACATACAGTAGCCACAGTGGCAATGCACTACTAGTTCTATCCCTTAACTACCTCCATGGCCTCTCTCTCTGCACCTCACTCACTGTAGTCACTGGCTAGGCCAACATGACAGGGCCAGGGTGAATTGTGCTGCCTATTTACTCAACTGTTCCTCTGGTCAGGACTGAACTTGTTCATTCATCCCGTTCCTCTCCATCCCTAAAGAAATGTGGTATACAATTGGGAAACTGGAGATTGCTATGATCAGGTTTTACTCCATTTTGTTTAAAATTCCTTCATTTACTGGAGTGGAGTAGTAAATAACGGCGTGCTTCAGTTTCCACTGGAACCAAGATGATCGCTACTGGCTCTCACCCGGCTGTCGCTCACACTGTGTCTGCATAACCGTACATTCACACCGATCCGGCAAAAACGCAACCCCCTGCTGTGTTTTAACACAAGGGGCTGCGTTGGTCAGAGAGTGAGGGGTTGCAGGGGAACAGCCCCTCAGACTTTCATTTTCACACCAATCTGTATCAGGAGGCTAATCTATCGTCATCAGCACTGCAAGACAGAATGTAGCCAACAGGGGAAGACACTGACGCTGAACCAATATTTGAGGAAGATGTTGATGGACAGTACTGTATGCATACCTCCAGAAACCCTTTTCACAAGAAAGTTCAGTGTCCAATATGTCTCCTTTTACAGGTTAATTGAGTTTGCAGTGGCAACAAACTTAAACAGGAGCGAGTGAGATTGAGATAGTGCCTGACATCTGAGCTCACTGATGCAAAGAGAGTCCAGGGACAAATGGGGAGCGGAGTTTTCATTTTCAGTCATGCAGGGAGAAATAAAGTCTCCAACCTCTGGAGTCCACAGTGATTCATGGATGTTATTTTGGAAAAAGCTACAACCAGGATCCTAAATCAAGCGGCAACCACCACAGCTCAGGTGTCAACGTTCAAGAAAACGCTTTCTTTCAGCTGTAGGAATTGTGACAGGGGCAAAGGAGAAAGTAAAGTGATGTTACAGAGCAACTAAATCCACAAAGAGAAGAAGCTGTGTAGATGGACAGGTCAACC